CACCAGAGTTATTCCCTTCTCCCTAGAATCGCCCCCAGTCCGCCCGCGGGTGTTTACCGGGACTCGGGGCGGCGGCGACTCCTCAGTCCCTCGACTAAGATGGCAGCCGGTCCCGAGCCCGGAGCGCAGCGACCAGTGCGAGGAGGCTGCCAGCGCGCAGGCGTGTCCGTCCGGACGCGTGCGGACTACAAGTCCCAGCAGACCTTGCGAGCCGCCCGCCCGCCGGTCGTGCAGGGCTGGCTGGCGAGGGTTGCGGAGCGCCGGGTCCAGCGGCGTTTCTACGCCCCCAGGTGTCAGGAACTCGTGGATTGGCTCTTAGCAACTCCACGCTTTTGTTTGTTTTTAACGACCCCCCCACGCTTCCAGAACGTCTAAAGATTACAGCTGTGGTTCCAAAACTCTAGCGTTCAGATCAGAAGCACTTGCAGAACTGGTTAAAACTGGGCTTCAGACTGGTTCGTCCTGGTTCAGCCCCTAGTTTAAAACTCGGGAGTTTCTGATTCATTAAGTATGGAGTAGGGTCTGATATGTCCATTTCTAATGAGCTCTCTGGGGGTACTACTTGCGGGGAATCGCACACGAAGAACCACTGGCTGATGTCTTTACAGGATGTGGAGGCCGCTTCCGTAAAGATTTAGACTTGGAGCTACACTGATTAGGTTCTAATTTCCCCTTCTCCGTAGAGTACTCTTTAAGGATGATAATAACTTACACCGGGGCAGGTGCACTGTGAGCTGATCAGTAACTCCCTTTATACACACCTATGAAGGAAGTACTGGCATTATTCCCATGTTAGAGGGGCATTAAGCAAGCCGCAAGTCAGATGACAGCCCAGGCGGTAAAAGACTTCAGAATTCATCATCTTGACCTGTGTCGGGTCGGTTGTGAGAATAAACTGTTCAAGTAGACTGGGAGGCAGGACTAAGTACTCAGTAATTAGCGACCCTTGCTGTTATTGTTTAGCCTGTCTCCTCCTACTAAAAATAGTAATATTTTGCCATCTGGAAAGTGACTTACACTTTATAAAGTTCCTTCAAATCTGCCATGGCAATGTGTTTGGCACTATGCCTTGGGAGAGTGTGTTACAAATACAGATTCCAGAACCCTTATCCTATTGAGATTCTCCAAGGGAAGGTTCTCAAAATCATCTGGAGGTACTCCTGAGCCTTCAGACCAAAAGAACAAAACTCTCAGGATTAAATTAATGTCTAATTCGTAGCAGCATCTGTACTTTTTACTGTTGCAAAATGATAGGTGACATAGTATTTACCAATTTGTCTCTTTTTCCTGTGGCCAGCTTTATTGACGTCAATTACTCTAGTCAAGTTGTGCAAACTTTACCCCAACTGGGGTCACTTTTCTAATTGAGTTCTGCTGGGCTGGGGCCTAACACTGCATTTTAAACCAGGAACAACACCTTGAAAGCCACTGCTCTAAAGAGGTGTTCGTGGCCAGGAGTCAGGTGTTGGGTTAACGGTGACGAGCTGATCCATGCCACAGTTGAGGCTGTCTGTTCCTGCAAAGACCTACAGCTTGGAAACCCAAAGGACCAGTTCTACCCTATTAGGAGTTACCTACCCTATTAGCTACCCTATTAGTAGTTCTGTCCTATTAACTGCTACCCTATGCCCTATTAAGGTCACTATCAGTCAGAATCAACTCGATAGCAATTAGTTTGGGCTTGAGGAAAGTGTTTATCCAACTTTCTTTCATTATTGTTGCTCAAAGGAAAATATTTAGACCTTCCCCCCACTATTTTTATGCATAGTCTCCCCACCCCCACCCAGTCCACCCAACTACCCACAACTAATTTTTTTGTCCCATTAAGAATGTGGGTTCTAGGGTATCCCGGTTTTCTAAATAGTATCCCAGGTGATTCTATCACCAGGTAAATTTGGGGAACATCGTGATCCTTTTAGGGAGCCCTGATTATGTAATGATTACGCTGGGCTGCTAATTGCAAGGTCAATAATTTCGAGACTAACAGCCATTCCTCAAGAGAAAGACCACCTTCCAGGGGGGAGAACAACAGAAAGCGGGTGAAGGGAGACAGCAGTTGGTATAAGACATGAAAAAAATTATAAATAATGAAGGATTTTTGAGGGCGGGAGGGTGGGGGGAGAGGGGTAAATGAACTGATACCAAGGGCTCAAGTAGAAAGAAAATGGAGATGGCAACATGTATACAAATGTGTTTGACACAATGTATGTATGGATTGTGATAAGAGCTGTAAGAGCCCCCAATAAAAGGATTTAAAAAAAAAAAAAGAATTACAGTCTCAGAAACTCACAGGGGCAGTTCTACCCTGTGGCTGTAGTCAGCATCGACTCGATGGCAGTGAGTGTGGTTTGTTTGTTTGTTTGTTTGTTTGTTTGTTTGTTTGTTGGAGTGATCCTTTGATGTTTCAGGTATTTTTATGGTCATTGTACAGAGATTGAGTTTCAAGTAAAATGACTGATACAAGGTAATTCAGCCAAAGATCCAACCCAAGCCCTCAAGCTCCATCCAGATTCTGTTTGTGTATACTTTTTATTTGATTTTACTTTTGGTGAAGTATACACAGTTTCTCAGCACAGTGATTAGTTACATTGTTCCCATTGTTACAACAGTGGCTGTTCCTCTGTTCTAGCTGTTTCACTTCCACTGGCTCACACTCCCTGTCACCTCAATCTTCTGGTCGAGGCTTTAAAACAACTATGGTCCCTTCGATCTTATAATGATGTCTTTTTCCCCAAAACGAACGAAGTATTCAAGGTTGTCAATCTTTCCTTTTAGAGCTAAACTGTTCCTTAGTGTACTTGCCATTCCAGATTTGAAGAGCAACTCAGAGCAATAGTCAGGAATTCCTCCAACCTCACACCAAACAAACAAACAAACTCAACTGCCATCAAATTGATTCTGACTCAGAGCAACCCGATAGAACACGGTGGAACTGTCCTTGGATGTTTCTGAGACTAACTCGGTGCGAGGGTAGAAAGCCTCATCTTTCTCCCAAGTCGGATAAATCTGGACTCTAAGAATTTTAAGTTCAGTTCTATGTTTTTCTCCCTTTTTGTCAAGGTCCACCTATCGTGTCTCTGACCAGAATGTCAGCTAATGGCAGCCAGGTACCTCTAGTTCTTTTGGCCTTGAGGTAGATGAGGCAGTAGTTCATGGAGACAGTCCTGAAATTCAATGTCTTTCTGATTTGGGGGTTTCCTTCTTTCTCTTTTGCTCGAGGTGAATGGAAAGCAAGAGTATCTTCGATGGCTGTCATAAGCTTTTAAGACCCCAGACACTACTCACCATCCTGGGAAGTAAAACATAAACTTTACGAACTATAGTATGCTAGTTGACCGGTTTGCCTCACCAGATTATGGCTGTAAGCCTTCAGCCCAAGAGAACTAAACCCACAAAGAGATAGGTTCTGTCTATTTAGTCCACACACATATTTGTTGTGGTTGCAAAATTATATATAACACAGCATTTGCCGATTTATCCTCTTTTCTTGTGGACAGCTTCATTGGCCTATTTGTACCCATTCCAAAGAAATGTGGCCCAATTGTGAAAATGTTGATAATTGTGAAAATGGTCAACAAATCTTATTGACTATCACATACAAGTAAAATTTTGTAGACAAGCATTCAAAAATAGTTGCTGCAGTACATCGATAGGGAGCTGCTCGAAATCCAAGCTGGATTCAGAAGAGGTCTCAGAGTGAGGGAAATCCTTGTGGACATCAGAGGGATGTTGGTTGAAAGCAGAGAATACCAGAAAGATGTTACTTGTATTTTATTGACTGTGCAAAGGCACTTGACTATCTGGAACATAACAAATTTTGATAACACTCTAAAGAATGGAAATTTCCAAACATTTAATTCTGCTCCTATGGAACCTACACATAGACCTAGAAGCAGTTGTTTGAATAGAACAAGGGATACTGCTTGGTTTTAAATCAGAAAAAGTGTGCATCAGGGCTGTATCATTTCACCATATTTATTCAATATTCTGTCTGAGCAAATAATCCACCAAGCTGGACTGTAGGAAGAAGAAAATGGCATCAGCATCAAAGGAAGGCTTATTACCTTGGATATGGAGATGATAACCCTCGTTGTTAGAAACAAAAACTTACTTCCCTAAAGATTTACAGCCTCAGAAACCTTAAAGAACTATTCTACTCTGTCCTATAGGGTCGCTGTGAGTCAATCAACGCAATGGCAGTGAGCCTGGACTCCTAGGATGTTGTGAAGATTCTAGCAGATAAGAGGTGGTTCTCCAAAGGGTAGCTGAGTTAGTGAATACAGACATCCCAGCTGAGTTGTTCCCTTAAATGCCATTCAGTGCATTGAGCTGCCAATCACAAGATCGGTGACTCAAACCCACCAGTAACTCTAAAAGATTTGCAAATCCAAAGGGGAAATTCTCTGTCCTACAGGTTCACTATGAATTAGAATGGATTAGATGCAAGTGGGTCTTTCTTTTTGGTATGAGAGGCCTTCAATAAACAGACACCTCAAATTGGATACTGCAAAGCCGGAGCACAACTTGGCAAGAGTGGAAAATAAAAGCATTTGGAAAGACACAGCTATGGAAGATGTGAGGGCAACTTAGGATGTTGGAAATGTAAGACTTCCTAGTAATTTTCATAAAGTCTTTTGAGATCTCATATTGTCTTCTTCAAGTTATACAGTAAACATTTCAGAAAACATTTTCATATATGGAAGCCAATGTATAATTCGTGTTAAATATTTCAGAGGTGAGGTTGACTCCAAGATTCTTTATAAGAAAAAATTTCTAACTTTTAGGTATTTCTGTGGAGAAATTGTCATCTTATAACAAGAGTGGACTATTTTAATTTTAATAAAGTAGTTTGAACTCTGACTGACCCATTTTGAGTTTTAGAGCATTTGAATCTCTATTTATTGTGCAAAAACCACTACCAATCAATTGATTACAACTCATAGCGACCCTATAGGACAGAGTGGAACTTCTCTTGTGGGTTTCAGAGGCTGTAAATCTTTATAGGAGCAGAAATGCTGGTTGGCTCAAACAGCTGAGCCTGCGGTTAGCAGTGAAACACCTAACCCACTACACCATCAGGGGTCCTTACTTTTAAAGATAACAAATAGGAACT